CATCTCAGCTCACTGCAAGCTCCACCTCCCGGGTTCCCGCCATTCTCCTGCCTCAGCCTCCCAAGTAGCTGGGACTACAGTCGCCCGCCACCACGCCCGGCTAATTTTTTGTATTTTTAGTAGAGATGGGGTTTCGCCGTGTTAACTAGGATGGTCTCGATCTCCTGACCTCATGATCTGCCCGCCTCGGCCTCCCAAAGTGCTGGGATTACAGGCGTGAGCCACCGCGCCCGGCCTCTAGGAGTGTTCTTAAGGACAGTGGCACAGAAGCAGGTTCTGGATGGTGATGGGGAGGCCCCAGGGGAGCCCCAGAAGAGGAGGAGCTGGGAGGATCTGGGATGCGGAGTCCGGTAAAGCCACCGGAGGAGAGAGCAGAGATGAGGAGGGAGAGCAGCGACTGGACATGGTCTGGGCGGGGGTCCTTGAATAGGCAGATAAGAACCTGGGGCTTTATGTGATGGCGGCCAGTGCCTAGTGCCCCTGGGTTCGGATGGATACGGCCCAGGCCCTGGCCTTGCGTGGTTGAGGGAATTGTCACTGGGTTCGGATGGATACAGCCCAGGCCGCGGCCTCACGTGGTTGAGGGAATTGTCACCAAGGCTGTCCTGGGGGGGCTCAGTGCAGTCAGAGGACCAGAAAAGCATCCAAGGGAGGTCCCTGGGGTCCAGCATCCAGGGTGCCCACAGGCTGGTCCCCATGGAGACAGGGTGGGAAGAAAGGGGACTTGGGAAGTGAGGTCCAGGTGGGGCTGCAGGTCGGGGTGTGCAGGTCACGAGGCGAAGGAGGCAGTGGGGGCTCCGACAGGTCCCCGTGACAGGTCTGGGAGGAGTGCGAAGAATACAGAAATGCACATTCACAGGCCAGGGCCAGCCCTGCAGGGAGGGCCTTGGGTGTGAGGCTGAGGCCCTGAGGTTGGGCGGGAGATCCCGGCCGGGACTGGGTTGGGAGCCTGTGGGGTGCGTTCCCTGGTTCAGTAGACTGGTTCCTATTTCTCTTCTTATTTTCTTTTCTGCTGTCTTGTTTTGTTATTTCTTCAACCTTCCCCAAATCTCTGGAATGCTTAAAAACTCACAAATGCAACTGAAGACCCTTGATATCACTATAGCCATTTGATAATTCCAGTGTTATTAGATGAGTAATTTAGATGGTAAAAATACAGTTATAAGTTGGAATACAATAATGTCCTCCCTCTGATTTTTGAAAGCATAATGGTGAAGTAATTAAAGTTTTAAAGGGTTATTATCAAAAACATCTATTAAACATTTTAAACGCCTCCTGCCTCCCAGCGGTGAGCTTTCGTCTTCATGGGTGATGCTCACAGCACTCATCCCAGCACCTCTGGGAGCCGCTGGCCAGGGAGGCGACAGCATGTGAGCCAAGGCTGCTTCGCTGGGTGGAGTCAGAAGGCACCAGGGGACTGGCACGTGCTCCGGGTCCTCGTGGGACCCTTGGTTTCACTCGCAGAAAATGGCCAGCGCCTCGGAAGCAGCTGCCTCCTGCCCGGCTCTCTGAGGTGGGGGCCCTCTTCCTGGGTCAGCATATGCTGGACTCCACCTCTCCCTTCTCGGCCGTCTTCTAAGTGCTGCGGGCGTTGCTTGCCCAGGTCCCTCTCATTCTGCAGCATTCCGGAGAGGTCCAGCTCCGACATGGGATCCCAGGCAGGATGCAGAGGCTCCTGTTTATCCCTGAGAGGGCACTGGGGTTGCTGGTTTCCCAACACGGTGTTTGTGTCAGGCAGGTGGAGGGTTTGCCCCTCCCTTCTGCGGCTCTGCAGGTGAACAGGCACCTTCTCAGAACAGCAAGCGCAACTCAGCCCCAAACAACCCCCCAGCCACAGCAGGGTGCTCCCCACCTGGGAGTCACAGGATGCTGGGGTCAGGCCTGCAGCCAGGGCTGCTCAGTAATAACCCATGGGGCCGACTGAGGGCTCAGAGGAACGTGCTGCCTTCGTTCTGTTTCTATTGCAACAGGCCTTTCGGGATCTCACACAGAGGTTAACTTTAGCTTCCAAATCACTTTTCGATTGTTTGTTCATTTTTTTATTTTGATGGCAACTCACTTCTTAATGCAGCTCCTGATGAAGTTTCACAACTTTGCTGTTCCAAATTATGTACTACCGTGACGAAAGGAGTTAGGTATTACTTCCTAATAAAATACATGGTCCAGTGATGGGTTAAGAAATACAATGTAATCAGATAGATCAGTTATAATACTTAAAGAAGCAATATTCTGTTAGGGTGTTAAGAATAAAACCATTTTAAAGCAGAGTTTCTCTTTGCTCTGTGGGTTTCTTAATGAGCTGGGAGACGAGGGGTCCCTGGGGGTGGTGGACAGTGGGCCAGGCAGCTGTCACCTTTCTCCGATTTGTGTTTCAGATGGAACGGCGCTGAGCTGGTGGGCTGGAAGAGCCAACGAGACCCACACTTACTGGGGAGGATCTTTTCCCGGCGCCCACCAGTGTGCCTGTGGGTTAGAGAGGGACTGCCTGGATCCTCAGTACGGCTGTAACTGTGACGCCGACCGGGACGAATGGTGAATTGCATGTGATTTCCTCCGTGAGA